AAAAAAATCATTTGTTATATATTAGTCCCTCCTATTCACATATTACTTGACCTTCATACTAAAAAAAAGTTGTTTCAGTTTACTTGTCAAATTTATGAAATCAAGAGAATATTATCACATTTGTTACTTTCTACCCTTAATATTAAATAACTACATAAAGTAATAGTAGTAGACAAATTTAGAGTTTGAAATCATTATTAATAAGGTCAGTTAGGTAAAATACACTTCTAATTAAAGTTTGAAATCATTTTTAATAAGGTAAGTTTGGTAAAATACACCTCTAATTAAAGTTTTCATCAAGGGGTGTATCACGTCTAACATATATTTCTTATGGGAAAAGGATGAAAAATAACGTGTTTTCTTGTAACAGAAAAGAGGCATTTTTTCTTTTAACCTAGAAAGAGAATATTAATTAGTTTCTCATAAATACTTTCCCACCCACCACAATATTGAGAGAGTTCATGAACTGTGAATTTGGGATATCTGTTCACGCTTCCTAAGGTATTTCTTGAGCTTTCTATGTGTTTATGATATGATTGTTGTCTATAATTCGTACTATGTTTCTAGAATTTTTCTGCCGTGATATTAGCTACAAAAGAAGAACTAACGAAATTGGATATACAATCGTGATAAAATAAGTGGAAGAAACAATACATAGAAAAGTAGGGAAAATAATTTCTTGGTTTTACAACCAATACAGAATGCAATTAAAATATGAGAAATTATTTGCTTGAATTAATGGTGAAATTGTATTCTTAAATTATTAATCTTGCAGTGTGTGTTAGATTGTTGACTAATTTTTTTTAATGTCTTTTAAATATTTTCAAGTAATATACATGATTTCAAAAAAATTAAAGTTTTAGGTCCAAATTCACTATTTAGAAGTTTGAATTTCGAAAATCCAACTAAACCACATAAATTAAAATAAAGAGAGTACTAATGTTTTTTTTTGGTAAACCGGGAAAAGATTACCATAGACAACCAATCTTTACACGTAAAGAGCACTCCAAGGAATCATAACCTACATGTTAGTCATATCCCGAGCCTCAAAACTAGTAGTAAGAAAAAACAACAAGCTAGTTACAGATTTTCTGAAGTAAACTACTACATTTCCGAACTGTCTTAGAGCCTTTTGCTTGTTTTACCCTTTCAATGATCTCCTTCTTTATATGTGCAACAACTATCTCCGTATTTACATTTAGCCCCTCCATGTGGAGTAGATCCTTGCCCCCAAAATTGTTGTTGTCAGCTCCTTTCTAACACGGCTGCACCTGTTCCTTCTGCAGTCTGCATCCTGACCATCTTTCCAGCTCTTCTTGCACCGTTGTTGTCCATCTACATTCAAAAAATAAATGCCGCTAGGATTCCACTTTGTTATCATCACACATACAACATGTTGTATCGTCCACTGAAATATGTAGCTTGTTCATTCTCTCTTTTGTTAACCGTCTATCTTTTGTTACCAGCCATAGTATGAATATGTGTCTAGCTAGTAGAATCGAGCTCCATACCAGATCAGATTGCTTTACTCTCTCCAAGGTCCCCACCAAGCTGTGATAACTTTCACTTATTGAATATTCGCCTCGAGTATTAATGTTGTTCACACTTGTATTTGAAATGACATATTTTATTTCCAATCACAAACCAAACAACCCAAGTGAAATATTCTTATTAACCTGTGTATGAAACATTAGCACTTATCAATATGTGATGTGTTGATTCATAATGAATGTTTTTTCACATACTAATCACATATGTATAGAAACTATGCGTATTTGAATATTTATTCTTCTATAACTAATTACACCTTATATCTACTTGACTATAGAAGACACTTTTTGCTTTGTAATTTGAGACTGCAGCTGATCTATTTGATGTTACGAGAATCAGGATGAGTCGAGGTATACAATCCTCTCTTTGTCGCTTTTTTCCCCTTCCTTTTGGATTGCAATAATTTTAAGCCTAAGATTATTCAATTTCCTCTAACAGATAGTAAAAGAGCTGTTTTTGAAGACGACAGAGGAGATAGAATCAGTAGCAACAATAGTCGCTGATAATGCCTATAATAGTCGCCACTGAAAGTATGTTGTAGTAGCAACATTAGTCGCTGCTAATGTCTATAAGAGTCGCCACTAAAAGTATATTTTAGTGGCAAAATTAGTCGCTGCTAATACATATAATATTCGCCACAAAAAGAATGTTTTAGTGGCAAAATTAGTCGCCACTAATAGTTTCTTTTAGTGACAAGATTAACAGCCGCTAATACCTATAATAGTCGCCACTAAAAGAATGTTTTAGTGGCAACATTAGTCGCTGCCAATGCCTATCAAAGTCGCCACTAAAAGAATGTTTTAGTGGCAAAACTAGTTGCTGCTAATACTTATAATAGTCGCCACTAATAGTTTGTTTTTAGTGACAATATCTCACTTGGACAAAACTTTCGTCCTTTTAATGTTTTTCTTTTTTCCTTCTCATTCAACTCTTCTAAATATTTTTTGTGTGAGTTATGACTATTTTCGACAAGTTTAATTTGAAGAACATGAAACAAAACTTGCTCTAAATAAAAGTAATATCTTAAGCTACAAAAGATATGTCTATTAACATAGATTTGTTGTCCTTTATATCTCAAGTTATTGCTGAGCATTTGAGTTTTCTAGGTTAGACTCATTTTTAATTTTTTAATATTCGAGAATATTTTTTTAACATAAGTCTAGAATTCAATATTTTGATCTACTTGTAACTTCATAATGAAACAATTATACATACATATTTCTAAAAAAGTCGTAAAGTTGCATTGATGAAGCATCTGCCTTCAAAGCAGCAGTTTAATAAAGAATGAATTTCTAAAAAGGTCAACAATATTATTTTGTTGTTGTGAATTTTCTAAAAAAGTCGGAGACATTGTGAAGTTTGATCTTGATCTATCAGGAGTAGAGTTGACTCCGTATCCAGATATTGATAGATGGATACTTTATGCAACTAGAAATGGTGTCAAGAAGCTAAAGCTTAAAATGACGAAAGATGGTACTTACAAAGTGCCTTCTTATATATTTAATTGTTCAACCCTGACAAAATTGAAGATCTTCAATTGCATCGTTAAATTACCAAATTCTTTTCTTGGATTTCAGGCTAACAACCCTCCATCTGGAAAGAATAACCTTTGAACCAGCTACAGAGTTTTGTGTTATCAATACACCCCTTGTTTTGAAATTGATCTTGTTATACTGTAAGGGTACTCAATACCTCGACATTGTTGTCTCAACTAGGTTGGAGTACTTATCTCTTCGTGAGAGTCACGATAATCTCAACCTAAAGTGCTTTATGAACTGCAAAAGATTGAAAGGTTTATACCTTTGGGTAGATAGTCCAATACCTGCTGATGAAAAATCAAGTTATGAAAAGTTTATTTTTAGCTTGTCTAAAATTGAGACACTTATTTTAAGTTCATTCGTCCTCGAGGTAAGAATCAGACATGTTTTAATTTACTTGGATACCTTTGGGTGTTAAATTCTTGTCCATATTATTCTTATTGTTTTTGCTCCAAAGCTTTTGAGTACAGGTAAAGTTACAAGGGGGCTTCCATTTACACCGATCAACTGCTTGAGGCATCTAATATAGGGGATAACTTGGACGAAATGGGTCAGACTTCTTACGGGCTCAGTTAATTAAGAGTTTCCTCAACTTGAGTAAACTTGAGATTCGGGTAAGAAGAAGTGGTACGTTCTATTTTTACTTCATATGTTTAAACACGAGAAACTAAAACATGTTATTACATTGTACCATTAATTAGGTCTATGCTGCTTCTGACAAGGATGAAACGGTTATGAAATATCTGGACAAACCAGCCTGCTTGGACTGATCAGTCGACAAACTTGAAGATGTCGTTATGCATTCTTTTAGGGGTTCAAAATCAGAGTTTTTCTTCATAAAGCTATTGTTTGCTCGTGCTCCATCTTTAGTTAGGATGAACATTAAGCTGAGTAAAGGGGCAAAGGAAGAAAGACATATCACCAAAGAGGTGATGCGTTTCTCCAGAGCATCTCCCAAGGCTGAGTTATTCTATTCGACAAATGCATATTAGGATACTAATAAGTCAGTTTATTTGTTATTCGATGCTATTAATGTTCGTTGATCCCTTTTTTGTTCGTCATGAGTTTTGTAAAAGAATAGAATGAATTGGTAGAATTAGTGATGAATATGTTAAGTTTGGTCTTCATCTCTATTTTATAAGATTGTCAGTCCTTTTGCTATTGTCTTCACTCTTTCATATGCAATTTTTCCTATTTATACATGAATAGGTAATATAATTTGTAAACACATTCAAAGTATAACATATGTTTCACATTAATCAGCTTTAATTAGTTCTAACAGTGCAGAATTTGCTGTAAGAGAATCCCAACTATTGTTTCTTTGAAAGATTGAGATTTTATTGCTAATTTATTGTAAAAGTGTTTATCAATTACCATATTGTGAAGCATGGCCTAAACATATCCCCAATTTTTCGATAAAATACTTGTTCTTGCTACATCGTAAACAGTCAAGAGACTCGGGATATATCATATATATCGTTTATTGGCAAAGCACTGATTTTATCTTTAGTATTCAGTATTCACTGATATCTGTACTTGTTTTCTCATTCTTCTAAAACATCCTAGGATACCTTGTCAAAGTCGTAGTTGAAAAAATAAGTAATTTAAATTTTAAGATAATTATTCAATACCATATTTAAGGGACTTGTGATTAAATATTTCAAAATATATGGTATAAATATTAAAAATGGTATTGTGTGTAATTTTTCTAAAGTAGAGATAAATTAAGTATATATGGTAGTAAAGTATATGTAGTTAGGTAGTTTTTTCTTAATATTACCAAAAGACAAAAACCCTACAACCTAAAGATTTCACCAAAACACTCTTCTCACCGCACGCTAATCTCTTCATTAACTGTTAATACGAATTCTGTTTAACAGATTCTAATTAAGATCTAATTATCCTTACAGCATGATTCCAGGTATACAATTCTCTCTTTTCCCTTTTTTTTGTTTTTAATTTTTTCTTTTTGGATTATAAAAATTTTAAGTCTAATAAAAGCATTCAACTTTTTTTCGAATAGATTCTAAAAGAGTTGATGCTGATATTGAAGATAGATTCAGTGCTCTACCAAGAAACCTTATAGATGAAATTCTAAGGCTCTTACCCGTTCACGACGCAGCAAGAACTAGTATTTTGTCAAAAAATTGGAGATATATTTGGGCCGCGCATCCCAATTTAATGCTTGATAAGACCTTTTGCAGTAAATTAGCTGTAAAATCTCAATCTGTATTGAAAGAAACAATAGATATGATTCTCTTACAACATATTGGAGATATTGTGAAGTTTGATCTTGATGTTTCAGGAGTACAATTGTGTTCATATGCAGATATCGATAGATGGATGCTTTATGTCACGAGATATGGTGTCAAGGAATTAACCCTTAACATGTCAAAGAATATTAGTAGTACTTATAAAGTGCCTTCTTATATATTCGATTGTCGAACCCTGACACAATTGAAACTCTTCAAATGCATCTTCAAATTACCAAATTCTTTTCTTGGGTTTCAAACTCTTACCATCCTTCAGTTGAAAGAAGTAACCTTCGCGCCTGCAATAGAGTTTTATGCTATCAAAACGCCACTTCTTGTCGAATTAAACTTGACACATTGTGAGGGCACTCAATATCTTAACATTGAGTTCTCATCAGGATTGAAGTACTTGTCTGTTCGTGAGAGTCACTATAATCTTGACCTAAATAGCAATTACTTTAGGAACATCAAAAAATTGACATACTTATACCTTGTGTTTGATAATCCAATACGTGTTGATGAAAGATTAACTTTGGAAAAGCTTCTTTTTAGTTCGCCTACACTTGAGACACTTACTTTGGGTTTTTATGTACTTGAGGTAAGAAGCTAACATGTTGTTTTACTTAGATATCTACGTTATCCTTCTGTTTGTATAATTTTTCGTTAAAGCTTTTGAATGCAGGTAGAGTCCCAAAGGGGCTTCATTATACGCTCAACTGCTTGTGGCATCTACAGTTAGGTGTAAACTTCAACAAATTGGGTCAGACTTGTTACACTCTCGAGTTGATTAAAAGTTTCCCCAATTTGAGTAAACTTGAGATTTGGGTACGAAATAGCAAATATATATGTATGATCTTGTTCGTTTTTGCCCTTGGCATACTTAAGTATGAGAACTAAAATGACGTTGTATTCCTTTAGGACAATGCTTTCGGTGACCCTGATGAAGCAGTTATGAAATATCTAGACGCACCATCATGTTTGGACCAAACACTCAACAAGCTTGAAGATGTTTCCATCCATATTTTTAGGCGATCCAAAGTTGTACTATCTTTCATAAAGTTATTGTTTGCTCATGCTCCATCTTTGTCAAGGATGAGCATTAAGCCGAAAAACGCTTCTAGTTCCAAAGAAGAATTGAATGTTGCTACAGAGTTGATGCGTTTCCCCAGAGTATCTCCTAAGGCAAAGCTATTCTATCATCCAACAGTTGGATTAAAGGCCGAATGATACTTTTATCTATTCTCAATGAATTTTGTTAAACAAGGGAATGTTTTGGCGAATTATGTAAACGTCTGGGGTTCTGTTAATCTATTAGAACATGTTGGGCAATCTACGATTATAGAATATATAATTTAAGTCCAAAAAAATAACAAGGGAACAGGAAGAATTGTTTAATTTTCCTCTGTTCATGATTATTCGAAAGATGATAAGAATTTGTAACGTTAATTAGACTCGTGACTAATATTCAGAGTATATAGTGTCGTATTACAATTTTTGTCAAAACTTCTGCTTAGATTATGAAAAAATTTCAGATGTTTTGGTCTGATATAAAAGTAAAGGCAGATATACTATTAACCATGTGTTTTGATATAATATTATTTACCAAACAAGTGTTTGTTTATTTATTTGTTGTCTTTCATACCCACAGATATTGGACTATTTTGCACAAGAAAACATTTAAAATTGGAATAAATATTATGTTGAATATATTAATTCATATGATTAAGGACTTCTATGCAATAAAATCTAGTGTAATTATTTTTTAAAACATTTGGTAATTAATTAATCACAACAAAACAAAAGACAAAAACCCTACCACCTAAAGATTTCACCAAAACACTCTTCTCACCGGACTAATCTATTCATTAACTGTTAATAAAAATTCTGTTTAACAGATTATAATTAAGATCTAATTATCCTTTCATCATGATTCCAGGTATACCATTCTCTCTAATTTCCCCTTTTTTTAGTTTTTAATTTCTTCTTTTTAGATTATAAAATTTGAAAGTCTAATAAAAGTATTCAACTTTTTTTCTAATAGATACTAAAAGAGTTGATGTTGAAGATAGATTCAATGCTCTACCAAGACACCTTATAGATGATATTCTAAGCCTCTTACCCGTTCACGATGCAGCAAGAACTAGTATTTTATCGAAAAATTTGGAGATATATATGGGCTGCGCTTCCCAATTTAATGCTTGATAAGCACTTTTTCAATGAATTAGCGACAAATTCGCTCAACGAAATAGTAGAAGTAATCCTCTTACAACATATTGGAGACATTGTGAAAATTGTTTTCAATTTTGCACGAGAAAATTTGTTGTCATTTGCAGATATTGATAGATGATGCTTTATGTCACGAGAAACGGTGTCAAGGAGCTAATACTTGCCAGTCTACGAAATAGTAATTATAGAATCCCTTCACATGTATTTAACTGTCCAACAGTTTATTCGAACCACCAATTTCATTTTGCGGCTTTCAGAATCATACAGACCTTTATTTTAATAAAATGAGATTCATGCCATCCCCTGAGTTTTGTGTTATTAATGTACCCCGCCTTGTGAATTTGACCTTGATGCATTGTAAAGGTACTCAATGCCTCAAATTTGTTGTCTCATCGCGGTTGAAAGTCTTAGTTGTTTGTTACAGTCGTTTTGGTGTTGATCTATGTTGCTTTACCAACTGCAAAGATTTGAAACATTTAAACCTTGTGTCTACTAATCCAATACGCGTTGAAAGATCACAATTGGGAAAACTTCTTTCTAGTGTGCCTAAACTTGAGAGGCTTAGTTTGCTTGTATAAACACGAGAAGCTAGACTGACTTGGTATTTATTTTTTGTCATTAGGTCATCGACAGTACTACTAGTGACAATGTTGAAGAAGTTTTGGAATATCTAAACTCGCCGGTCTGCTTAAACCAACCACTCCACAGTCTCAAAGATGTAGTAATGCATGCTTTTGAGGGTTCAAAAGTTGAAATGCTTTTCGTAAAGCTATTGTTTGCTCGTACTCCATCTTTAATAAGGATGCAAGTGAATGTCTTTGATTTGGAGGAAGGAAGAGATATCGCCACAGAATTGATGGATTTCCCCAGAGCATCTCCCAAGGCCGAACTATTCTGTACTCCATGTACAGATTAAGAATTTTAGTACCACAACGTACATTATACATATAATGGTACAAATTTTATATACGTTTATATATTTTTAAGAAATTCAACTATGCAAACCAATTTTGAGTCGGATAATGGATGATGCATTCACACATTAATTTTCAATTAAGTTCTACTTTGACCTATAGCTCTCACTTGTATACTCGTTTATTTGTAGGATCCAGATACGGGTGCAGGGATTCACCTATCATTATTATGTAATTTGATTAGTCCATCCCATATTGGCTGAAGTGACAAAGATGGAAGGGCTGATCGGAGAATCTTAGTAATTCAGTTGGTTTGCTTCTGAACTTTCACCTTGGCTTGCTGGTGAGGGTTTGATTCCCCACGTTGTAATTACCTCCTCCATTTCGGCATTTCCCCTTCCCCTACCCCCGGTTTTTTCAAAACAAGGGCTGATCGAAATTGTCTTGTCCTACGTATTTTCTCGTTAATCTGATCCATTTTAGTGAAACATAGAAAGAAAATGGATCTTCTTTTGTAAGGAGAATGACAGAGTATATTACCTCGCTTCTTCGAATAAAGTGTAGGTTCATTCTTACTTTTTTTGAAATGTTGCTCTTGAAAAAAATGAGTCATTTTTGCTATACCATGCCCATGGAGCTTGCATTAGACCGTACAATTCAATTGGTATACTCTGTTTTTTTTTCTTTAAAGTCGATATCTTGTTGTTTGGGAGTATTTTTTATTTTTTTTTGCAACAAGTCGAGCTTTATGCCTTTTGACACTTCCATCAGCATAGTACTTTGTTCTGAAAATCTATTTTAGCCCTTCTTCCCTTTAGGAAAATCAACCAACTCTCGTGTTATGATTTTTCTCGATGGCCTGAATCTCTTCAATCGTCGCATTCTGCCACTCTGGTTACTTTGCAGCTTCTTCATAACATGTCGGTTCAAGCATGTCTGTATGTTCTGCTTCTGATTGAACCGGAATGTGGATGACTGAATCTGCTTGTCGTTCCACTCCCAAGCTGCTTTTTCTTTGAATACGAAATTCCTGTTGATAATCACTTCGCAACTATAGTACGATTATATAATCTGTATGCTTCGGATTGAGAACTATAACAATAAAAATACTTTCTCTGTTTTTTCGTCAAGTTTAGAACGTAAATTAACTAAAGCATAAGCTATACAACCAAAGACTTTCAAGTGGCTAACTCCTGGTTTCCGTCCCGTCCAAGTTTACGGTGTGATTCAAAAATGCTTTTGAAAATTCTCTCAACTTTACTGTAATCAGACATAAGCAGTTGAAAAAATCTGCTTCAATGTCTGATTTTAGTTTTGTTAGGATATAAGATACAGATGAAAAAACCTTCATAGTTACTCATATACATGAAACCAATAAATAAATGCTCTCGTCTAGGGAGTTTTTGTTTACATAAATTAATTATAACTAAATTTTGATGGAAATATATATGAAATATTTAAAATTGTTCATGAAATATAATATATTATGTATATATAATTATAAAAACCAAAGTCGGTTCTATTTGATTATTTCTCCTTCTTATTCTTTGTTGCTTATTTTTTTTTAGATTAAAAAAGTTGACGTACCATAAACGTGAATAATTTCGAGCAAATTATATATCAAAAGACTCAAAACATCAAGAGACTTTCATATCTAAAACTTAGGATTGTTTAAAGGAGACTTTGAGTTGATGGGAATTGCATAGTCAATGTATATTTCACGTATAGTTAAACTACATTCAGCTTTACGAATGAATCAATAATGTATAGCCAATGTATAGTTCATGTCTATAGATAAGGTATATTCATCAGTTATATTATGTGTGTGATGTATATATTATTAATATAATAATTTATACAAAGTCCTAACTTATAAGTTTAATTTAATCAAATTTGGAATAGGATTTAACTCCTAACGTGCAGCACTTATAAAGTCCTTAAAGAATTTCAGTTTTCCTTAATTAGAATTTTTTTCGAAAAAGTAATCTTTCACTTACAATTAATTTGGATTCCAGATTTTTTATGGAAAATTCCATTTAAGTTTTTTAACCAAATAAATCATCACCTTAATCAAATAGGGTGAAAAAACAAAACCATAATTAAATAGGATTAAAATATAAAACCTTAATTAAATAGGAAAAGGTTTATACGTGATGCTTATATAAAGAGCATCAAAACGTTCTAAACTGAGAAAAATATTATTGACAAGAAAATTGTTTTCATGTTTCGTTTATTGTGAGTTGAGATTTTTAAAGAAAAATTTCAGCATAATTAATATTTCTAATCCAATTTGTTCGTGAATTTCGTTGATCAAGGAGTTGATAGTAAAAATCGTATACACATATATATATGTATACGATCTATCGAAATATTTTGAATTACAACTCTCGTCAGCAGGTTTGTCTTGGAACCTATATTTTATATGTAAAAATAAATTTTAAACACAAGTAGATTTGTTGAAAATTGTTTATGTATTTCGATGCATGTTATGAACGTACTACACCCTAAAATCCTATTTAAGTCACAACATTTATGGAAACTTTGTTATTGCTCTTCTACTGTCTTATTTCTGGTGTTGTCTCCAGATTCTTCCATCGGTACCAAAAATGACGGAAGCGCCATGCAGAAGAACTTGTGATATAATTAGCAACCTCCCTGACGATGTAACTGATGTCATTCTAATGTGTTTGCCTCTACAAGATGCTATAAGGACGAGTATTTTGTCAAGGAAATGGCGGTATAGATGGGCAAAAGTTCCAAAACTAACGCTTGATCACACACTATGGGAATATATATCAACCCGCAAAGTTAGAACTAGGCTTACTAGTAGGATTTTGTATCATTTGTTTTCACTTCGCCAAGGACCAATTAATGAGTGTAGAATTTCCAGTATTCCGGAACCAATACACTTCCACGAGATTGACAAATTGATATTTTTCGTGTCAAGGAATGAGCTTGAGCAACTCGTGCTTGAACTTCCAAAGGGAGAAAAGTACAAATTGCCTTCCTCAGTTTTCACATGTTCGAAGATGAGGCATTTAACACTTCACTATTGTGTTGTCAATCCTCCACCTACCTTTCAAACATTTAGTAAGCTTATTCGCTTGCAATTGCTTAATGTTGCTATTTCTGACAAATCTCTTGAGAATTTAATCTCTTGTTGCCCAATGCTTGAGGACATGGAGCTGGATATCGCAGACCCTTTGAACTATATTGAAATTAATGCTCCTAAACTAAGATCCTTGAACTTTGGTAGCAAATTAAATTCTATACGCTTCAAGAATACCCCTCTTCTTACAGATGTGTCAATAATTGTGGCGAATGATGTAAATCATGATTCTGTAAATAGAGGAACATGTAATCTTGTCGAATTTTTTGGATCCTTGCCTGCTTTGAAGAATCTTTGCTTGGGTCATTCTATTATCAAGGTGAGTTTTCGTGCCTGGAATTAATACTTTTCATGTTCGTTCAAATTAAATGTCGATGTGCCCTGACTTCATATTGTTTGCCTTGGAAGACACTGATTACAGGAATAATAGATAGAATTCCGGTGAAGCTTCCCATGCCTCTTGTCAATCTTAGACAGATTTACCTATTCGATATTTGTCTTAGTGATCTAGATGAAATCCGATGTCTTCTGTGCTTGATAAAAAGCTCTCCATATTTGGAAGAGATAATTATCATTATTAATCAGGTAATTAACAACTTCTTATCTCCTTTTCCTTTTCAGTTAAATGTTCTAGTTTATGTTCGTTTTCTCATTTGGTAATCTTTCCTCAGGCAATTAATAAAGAAGGAGGAGATGATCTTCCTGCTCTTAAACTTTTGGAAGCTCAATATGATTCAGGCATAAAGTTGAATCGACTTACCAAAGTCAGATTGATAGATGTAAATGGAACAAAGGTAGAGATGGAATTTATCAAGCTTTTGTTGGCCACGTCTCCGATGTTGAAAAAAATGATGATATCTCCTTACTATATTGAGCCTGAATCTCCTCAAACATTAGTTGAGATACTGAAAGAGGTCAACAAATTTCAGAGGGCGTCATCTCAAGCAAGAGTCTTTTTTTGAAATTGGTAACTTGTAAAAGAAAAAATTGATTAGAAAATGAACAAAAGTCATTTTTAGAGGTGGAGAATTTTAATACAAGCTACACATTGACTATGTAACATATATTATGACAAAGATATGGTAAAACATTCCCAATTTGTCCTCTTTTGCTTCTTTTTTGTAAAATATATAGTTTACATGAGTATTAGGTAATTTATACTTAAGCAAATATGATCTAGTTTATGTTAAGAAAAGAAAGAACAAAACATGCATAATAAGACATACAAAATTTAAAAATATTTTTCTCCATACTGAACAAACCAAGAATTAGGTGTTCATGGTTCAGTTTAAATTGGTTTTTATCAAAAATATGATCAAGCCAATTGAATTAGTTTTTGTTTTGATACAAGAATCAAATTAAGCCAATTAAGTCAGTTTTCTAGGGTTTTTTTTATATTGTTTTTAATAATATTGATTGACTTATTAAATAATGATGTGATTTCTTGTGGAAAAATTTGTTTGTGGAGTGATCTTATTTCAATAACTCGGAGAATGAAAAAGGACTTTACACCAAATAAAAGAATTCATAGATCAAAGTGGAAAAATCTATGTTGATCAAGAAAACTTTATTTATTTCCTTTCATCACTAAATAGCATAACCAAATGGAGCCATCAAACTAGTATAATGAATCGATCTCAATATACGCCTCTACTTACTAGATGTTGCACTTGAGTAATTGAGTTAGCAGTTTCTCGTAAAAAGGGATAAGGCATAAGTACTCCCCTAAATTATGACTGAAATTCCAGCGACACACCTAAACTTAACTAGGGTTCTATTATCCCCTCAAACATAGAGATGAAGGCTCACCTGCCAGTTAGGACTAAGACCTCTAGTAGCAATCCCTCAGTCTCAGAACTACATGACACTATAGGTTTTAAGGGTCACCCATCAGACCTGACATCTTAGTCCTTTATGGACATCAACTTAGTGAATCTATATTAGGCAATGTTCGTGCAAGGTCCAGATCACCCTCCCATGATTGGAGTACATGTTGGACTCTGTTTAGCTTAGACAGAGTATGTCGGTTAGTAGTATCTCTCATAGTTCAGTCTCAGATATTGCATGACCTTGTATTTCAGTTTACTTAGTACAATATTGATTAGTTACATGCTTATTATTTAGTCATTGCATCAGCTCATTTATTTTTAGTTCTATATATTAAGTTCAGCATCTCAGATTTATCATGTTCACCTTATGTTATTAGATTATTGTGTATATCTCACCAAATTGTAGATAACTGCACCAAATTGTGGAAAACTTTCTTTGGAATCAAATATTGCAAATTTTGAAAAAGAATTCCTATATATCTATGAAAAAATTTCCTAATAAGGCTGGGCTTACGTAATGAGGATTTAAATTTATTACATTTTTTTCAAGTGATCAAGCAAAATTTGAAGAGGACCTATTGTAAGAGCGTTCAACATCAAGGAAAGCATTGTCTAATACTTGTGCCAAAATTACGAGCTTCATATCACCGGATCAAGCTTGTAGGTGCAATTCGTGCTCTTAGAATTGACAGTCAATTTGTAGTAGATAATCCGAATAAAATTATTAAATGACAGAAATATCATGCTATAATTATCCATAAGCTAGAAACACTTCAAACCAAAAATGAGTTGGCAAATGACCGAAAATCAACTAATCAATCTCTTGCAAATTAGAGACAACTGTTAGAAAAACTCTGGTATGTTTTAATCTGGATAACTTTAACATATCAACATAGTCACTTCTTATGAAGTTTCAAATGTTAAGCAAACGATAAACTACATAAAAAAATATATTTGTTTCACAAATACTTTAAGCCTTGTTTTTAAAGGTTCAACAAGTCGAGCACACCCCAACAAACTTCGAAGTAGGGGGCATTTGTATATAGTGAAGTTTTATTGATAAATACATATTAAAATTTATATTAAATCTTAAATTCATGATATGCTAACCAAGTTAAATTATTGGTAATAAAGTTGGATTAATATTTAAATTAAATGACTTAAATAAAGTCCAACTTACATTTGGGCCTGTCTGTAGGCTGATAAAACGAGCTCAATTCATGTTAGTCAAGCCCAAGGTCCTCTAAAGTTATTTGGAGCCCAAAATACTCTGAAACCCTAGCTCACACCTATATAAGGGCTCTTCATAAGACAAGAAGGACACAGAAAGACAAAGATTCTCTGCTCTTCAGTGGAGGCAAGTCTTCATCTCCAAGCGTTGAGCGGACTGTAACATTGTTTGTCGCTAGAATGAATCATTTCAAATAATTCAAAGATATATCTAACATTTTCTCATAAAATGATCCATCTGAAATAACTCACATGTATATTTAACATTTTTCCTAAAAGGAATCATTTGAAATAATTCAATGTTATATTTAACACTTCCTAAATCAAAATTGGTATATTTTACTTTACTTTCTCTTTCTATCTAATCAGTATGTAAACTTGTTTAAAAGTGATGCTTTGTGTGTATTAGTGATAGAATATTCCGGCCTCATTTTTGTCTTTAATGGAGGTCTGAATCTGAATGGTTCAGACATTAGACCAATAAGTGTGTTTGATTTTTTTACTTAAAAATCTCATAATAGGTCCGAAAGGGTCTGAATGAATTAGATCTGTGACAGAGTCTTATTCTCATTCATACCTTTTTAAAGGCACTTTTCTTTTTGAAAAAAAATTGTGCTCCATATTTTTTTCTTCAAAATAAATAAATTCAATTCTCTCTTATTCACCAATTTTATTAATTATCCAATATTTTCCTTAAATTTTTATTTTTTGTTATTACGGCTTGTTTATCAAGAATTGATAAAATTTATTATAAAATTTTTATTTGACTAAAGTGCAAAACAACTTCATAAATATGTGTTTTTGTGATAAAAGAAAAAGAAGATGATTACCTTGTTTTCTAGCGATTACTTTTATTATTATAATTTTTATATATAGTCCATGTAGTTCCATTTTATTTTTATCAAATTTAAAATATGAATTTATAATTTAAATATCTTAACGTTTATCAAAGATGGGCATTTTTTTTTCCTAATATTTTAATGTAATATTTAACGACTATTTATTTGAATTATAATATTTATTGAATTTACAGATTAATAAAAATTATATATTCAGATGTTTAATAACAAACAGTTTTAATCAAGTAGTATTAGAAAAGATCTTAATCATTAAGATTCAAACGTCTTAATCTTAATGAAAATAAATGAATCCTAAGTTCTTGTTTGGTATTTTGACGATTTTTACAACATGGTTTATTTCTTGTGTGTATCCAGATTCCTCTATCCATGCCTAAAATGACGGAAGAAGTGCCAAGCAGAAGATCTTGCGATCGAATCAGCAATCTGCCTATCAATGCAATTGATGATATTCTTACGCGTTTGCCTCTGCGAGATGCTGTTAGGACCAGTATTTTGTCGAGAAAATGGAGGTATGCCTGGGCCAAAGTTCTAAAACTTACTCTTGATGAATCACTCTGGAAAGATCTATCAACCCGTGAAGTTAGAGTTAAGCTTGGTAGGATTCTCCTTCATCTATTTTCACTTAGGCAAGGACCAATTAAAGAGTGTAGAATCTTCATTCCGAAATCAAAATACTTCCCTGAGGTTGACAACTTGATCTTTTTCCTGTCAAGGAATGGGATCGAGTATCTTGTTCTTGAACTTCCTAAGGGGGAGAAGTACAAATTGCCCTCTTCTATTTTCACAAGTTCAAAAATGAGGCATTTGACACTTCAGTATTGTGTAATCAATCTTCCAACTACCTTTCAAGCATTTGGTAAACTTCTTCGCTTACAATTGTTTAATGTTTCTATTTCTGAAAAACATCTTGAGAAATTAATATCTCGTTGCCCACTGCTTGAGAACATGGAGCTGGATATCTCAAACCCTTTGAACTATATTCAAGTTAATGCTCCTAACCTAAAATTCTTCAACTTTGGAAGCAAAATAATTTCTATATGTTTCAAGAATACCCCACTTCTTGCTGAGTTGTCAATTATGGCGGATAATGTGAATCATGGTCCTGTGGAATTAATTGTGGGGGATGATGTAAATCGCGATTTTGTGGAGAGAGGAACATGTAATCTTGTCGAGTTTTTTGGTTCCTTGCCTTCTATTAAGAATCTCCGATTGGAGAATTTCATAATCAAGGTGAGTTTTCGCGCCTGGAACTAATATTGTTCATGTTCGTTGACATTAAATGTGTTTGTGCCCTGACTTCATTGTTTCCCTTGGAAGACCCTGATTGCAGGAATCGATGAAATTCCAATGAAGCTTCCCATGCCTCTTCTCAATCTAAAAAAGATTTATTTATTCGACATTTGTCTAAGTGGAGTAGATGATATCCGTTTTCTTCTTTGCTTGATTAAAAGCTCCCCGTATTTGGAAGAAATCGTCATTATTAATGAGGTAATTAAATTTCTCCATTTCCTTTTCCTCTCGTTGGATGTTTTAGTTTATGTCCTCATTTTGCAATCTTTCCTCAGGCAATTAATAACGAACGAGGAGATGATCTTACTGCTTTTAAAGTTTTGGAAGCTGAGTATGATTCAGGCATAAAGTTGAATCGGCTTACCAAAGTCAGATTGATAGATATTAACGGCACAAAGGCTGAGATGGAATTTATCAAGCTTCTATTGGCCACATCTCCGGTGTTGGAAAAGATGATGATCTCGCCATTCTACATAGGGCCTGAATCTCCTCAAACATTAGTTGAGATACTGATGCAGGCCAACACATTTCAAAGGGCATCACCTCGAGCAGTAGTCAATTTTTAATTTTTAATTTTTAATGCAAGCTACACATTGTTTATGTAATATGTGCATTTACCCTAATGAGTTTTTACAACACTCCTTATGAGTGGATCTGTATTTCCAACAAAAAAAAACAGTAAACAATGGTTGTAGGGAAGGGAAATACAGTGGTCAGGTGTGTTTGGTATGAAATAAAACATTTTCCAGCAAATTAAGTGGGTTTTTTATTTTATTTTTTCTGTTCAATAGGTAAGTAAAGGATATAATTTAGATAAATACTATGAGAAGTGTGGGTTAGGATACATGTATGGGGTGTGGGGATAAGATGGGTTGTGTTGGAGGGTGGAAAAGACACCATCAATATGGAATGTCACTTATGGAACTTATTTTTTCCACCTCAACGAGTGAAGTCATTTTCCTCATTTTTTATCATTTTAAAGGAACTTACTTTCCTTTGAAATTTAAAAATGTTTTCCTCCGTACTGAATCATATTTTATCTATAAAGTTATTGAGTTTCTCTTTCCAGAACCTATTGCATGCTCATCTTTTAATTTATTATAGAATTTAGTTGAGTTAGCATCTAGGCCAAGATTTTATAGTAAATCGATCTCAATATGCGCTTCTACTTACTACTACTACTAGATGTTGCTTGAACAAGCAAATATATGTATGTACTTACTACATGCGTTAGATGAACATTTGTTCTTTGCATATTTTGTTAACTTAGACATAATATATATATATATGTGTGTGTGTGAATTTATAAATTGTAAATAGTATCTGTATGGTCAATTTGAGTAGGTTTTTACAATTTTTGTTTTACCCAAACTAAGATTCTTGAACTTTGGAAGCAAATGATAGCAAAGAGAAACTCATAGGATTTGAAGAAACTTACGTAACACAAAAAATAACAATAATATTTCCACGTGAAGGGATAGTCTTACATACCTTAGTATCTTTCAAAACACAGATAAAGATCCTAACTTTGATAAAGAACACCCAACAATTCTACGTTTGAGTCTCTGAGAAGGACTACTTTCGAAGACCTTATGATCTTAGAGTAGAATCGTGTTAAGAATTTTCATACGAATATTTTTAGAATAATATGGGAGGAACGTAGAGGTGATGAGAGGAGAGGAGAAGAGGCGTCCTAGGGATCAAATGAAAAGTTTAATATATCGAAATAATAAACAAGAGAATATCTAAAGCTACAAAGATAATTATTAAATAGTTAGCATAATATAAAACATTCCCCTATAGTAGTTATTAAAACGATCAAGAGAAACTTTGTTATAATCATTTTTGTTATACATTTATATATTGTGAATACATAGAGTTAAAAATAATACAATAAAAAATTGAAAGATTTCATTGAAATTATATTGTTCATTTGGAAATTTTCACTCACTTTATATATTAATTAATCTAATCCTAAATCAAGTTTTATTAATCTTAATCCATGTTATTTCATTTGGATATAGGCATTGCATCTCCAAACTCACTAGCCCGACTAATATGGTTCCGATCGAGTCCTTATATTAATCTTTGTACATGTTATTTCTTTTGGCTACGCCTCATGTATCCATACTTACTTTCTCGACTATTCTCGTTCCATGTTGGATAAGCCCACAAATGGGTAATTAAGCATAAGAGATTTTCCATTTTCAAAAGAGAGGTGCTACATACGGTAAACGCAACTACAAGGTGAATAATGATTAAAAAAATGTTCATATTTGATGTTTACATCAATTCATACCATGCTATCAAGATTTAAGCAATAAATTAAAATCAAAAGTACGTACTAATTAACTATGATTTGATGATAACAATACATATGAAGACATGTGTCATGTATTTCTAGCGAACGGAACAAAAAATACTTAATAATTTAGAAAAGGAAAAAAAAGAGGTCAGTTTTGAAAATTATTTTCCAGGTCCTTGTAGTTTCATAAACTACATTTGAGTGCACTATACTTTGCCGTCACATTTCAGATTTCATAAGTTGTCACTTGTCACCCATTTGCAGACACCCCCGCATGTATTTGCCTATCATTTTCATTTCTCCGATCACAATTTAGTTGGCCGGAAATTCAAAATCCTTCAAATTCAATCTCAGGTTTCGCCTTGTTGTAAATACAACTGTTAATTTGCTTTATACTCTGTTACTGTATCATCTTTTGTTAAAGATTATATTTTTATCATCTGGATGTGATTAAATTAGCTATATTTGAGACTGGTTTTATCTAAAATGTTGATTAAAGTTAATTATCTGTTGATTTATTTATAGCGCATATGGTGTTGATGTTAAGAGGATTGATCGGAAAAATTGTAAAATTTAGGGATTCTGGGTTTTGCAAACAATGTTTCCCTGTGGTTGATTCTAAGAACTGTTAATTGCTTACTACTCTCTTAACCTATGAATTTTTTTTATAAAGATTACATTTTTATCATTTGAGTGACAATTAAATTTGCTATATTTGAAATGGGTTTTGTTTAAAATGCTGATTGGGGTTAAAGTTATATGTTGATTTATAGGCCAAGTGGGTATAGAGGTTAAAAGGGTTGATCGGAAAAATTATGGAATTTTAGGGATTCTGGGTTTTGCAAACACTGTTTCCCGGTGTGGTTAATCCCAATTTCTACATTTTCTTGGAAACCCAATTAAATTTTTTATTCTGTTGGAGACAGATATGAAATGCATAGAGTTTTTTTTTTTTTTTTTTTTTGAAACTGATGAAATGTATAGAGTTTTTCCTTTGATTTACCTCTAGGTAATGGGTTTGGGGCGCGGAAACAGTCTCTTTGTTTAAATGCATATGTCCACCCTTCCCCCAACCCTGCTCTGGTCAGATTAGCACTTCGTGCACGGAGAAGCCTTTTTGCTGTGGGCGGGGTTGTGGAAATATTATGAGTATTTATATGCATTAGAAGGAAGAGTTGTTGTGTATCTTCCTATTTTTTTGTCTTTTCTGTTAGTAGTCATATAGCTCGTGTGGGTGATTAATATCTCTTCTCCTTGTAATAGAGTTAGTTACGTATTTATGGAGCAATCAACTTCTCGTTCTTATCTCTAATGACTTCTCTCTTACTAACATCACCACTTTGCATGTCTATGAATTCGACTATGATCTAGTCACTTAGACTGAATTTAACAATTGAGGTAAGTCATTTATAAGGTCTTAAGGTCCGATAATGGGATAGAGTTTTAACTCAAAATGTTCTAAATCATTGATGTCATATGGAATTATACATCAAAGTAGTTGAAATTATACCCCTCAACAAAAAGGAGCAGTTGAGAGGAGACATAAATATACTTGAAGTAGCTAGAGCATTGAAATTTCAAAGTTCTCTGCCAAATAGATTTCAGGGAGACTGAGAACAACAGCGTATCTGCTAAATAGGTGGCCAACAACAGTCCTGTAGGGTAGACACCTTATGAACTAATGTTTAAGAAGATACCACAACTGAGACATTTAAGGGTGTTTGGATGCTTGTGCTTTGCCAACAACTTATTTGGAGGAGTGAACTAGGAGGACAAGTTCCTTTATGCGATATTCTTAAACTCAAAAGGGATACAAGCTATATGATTTGGAGACAAGGGGTTCCTCAAAAATGAAGTTGTTCATCAGTCTTACTCAGCCCGCTGCACTAAATTCGATCCGAGACAGTTTCAAGTCACACTTTGCAGCCATATGCAGGTACAAGCTCACAATTAGCTATGCCTAAATAGGATATCATTGCTGAAATTGACATTCGAATGCCTTTTCCACAGTCTCAAGAAGAAGTGCAAATAGGACCAGATATTGCACAAGCTGGTGATTTACCTCCTGACCAAACTGGTGAAGTTGTTGCAAAACTCAGAGAATCATCTAGGAGACTCAGGCCGTCTGTATGGCCATAGGAGTATGTCACTACCACCAAGCATAGAAAAAGTTGTCCCTATACAATGTCCAATTACAAAATAAAATAAGACCAATGGTGATGTGGACAGATTTGAGGCTGGTTGGTGGCTAATGGGTACAATCAACAAGAAGAATTGGACTATGATGAGACATTTTCTCAGGTGGCCAAGATTGTCTGTGGTGGGACTGTTGTCAGCTAAGTAGCCTCAAGAAATTGGCCTTTGGCTTAAGATAGATGCGAATAATGCTTTTCACGAGAGAGATGTTTACAAATTAGGTTTATATGGATCTGCCTCAAGAGCTCCATAGCCTGGGGAATATAAAGTGTGCAGGCTGTTTAAATCTCTTTATTCATTAGGGGGATAGGTTAGGAAGTTGTGATGTTGTGTTATGTTTATTCTCTGTCCCATTTCTTCTATTTTTTTGCGCAGAAGAAAAGATCTCATTAGTTTTGTCTAATTTGAAGTTCTTTCTTTTGATAAGAAAAAAGAAGTGTAACTTTTGAGGTGTTTTCAGAATTGAATCCATGACAAAAATTTAAGTTTTCTTTTCTGAATGCTGAGAGGTTGAATTTGATCTTTGTGCAGCTATCATCCAACTGAAGTTGATGAATGGACACTGATTCGGATAGAGATTTATTAAGTGATTTGCCTCAAAGTATCATAGAAAGCATCCTCGTAAAAGTTCCATTAGTCGATGCTGTAAGGACAAGCATATTGTCAAGAAAATGGAGATACAAGTGGGCAGCCATTACAGAACTTGTTTTTAATGACACATGTCGGACTTCTGGCCATGACAAATCAATTATCAGTTGCAATCTTGTAAATTTCATTACCCGGTGCCTGTTTCTTCATGACGGACCGATTCACAAATTTGAATTGAATACTTCCTACTCACCAGCTTCTCCTGATTTAGATCAATGGCTACTTTTCCTTTCTCGTAAAGATATCAAAGAGTTGATTATTGATATAGGAGAAGATGACTGGTTTAGAGCACCTTCATGTGTGTTCTTTTGTCCTAAGTTGACTCATTTGGTGCTTGTTCGATGTGAATTAAACCCTCCTCCAAATTTCAAAGGCTTCTTGTGTTTGAAGCACCTTAGTCTCCAGCAAGTTATCATTCCTCCACATGATATTGAAGTTCTCATCTCCAGTTGTCCTCTTCTCGAGAGCTTGACATTGTCATATTTTGACAGTTTGGAGCTTACTATTCGAGCTCCAAATCTCAAATATCTGAATTTGGAAGGTGAATTTAAGGATATACGCCTTGAGAATACTCCACATCTGATTGGTATTTCAGTTGCCATGTATATGACTGATGATATAGCTGAGCACTTTGAACAATGCTCAGGTTGCAATTTCGACAAGTTTCTTGGTGGTGTTCCTTGCCTTGAGAGGCTTATTGGTCATATATACTTCACTAAAGTAAGGTCTCTTTCTAATTTCCAATAACGGGTGTAAAATACTTTTCACGCATATCTTTTTACCGTATCTATAGATTGAATATTTGAAGTTTTAACCTTCCTTCTACCCTTCCTTTCTTTGTCTCTCCATCTTTGTGCAGTATTTGAGTATAGGAAATGAGCAAGGGAACTTTCCCGTTACGTATCAAAATCTGAAGTTCATTGAACTGTACCAAGTTAGTTTTGAAGACATGAAAGAGTTACTTGTTGTGCTTCGCTTGATTGTGAGTTCTCCTAATCTAGAGGAGCTTCAAATATCTGTAAGTATACGTCAAAATGCTTGATTTCCTATTCTAAACAATATAGATTTTCACAAAATGCTCTTGTTTTTCGCACCTCATCTGTGTCAGAGTTCCTCGATTACAACCACCACCGATATTTATGATCTAGAATTTTGGGAGAGAGACTGGCCTGCTGACTGCACTTTCGGTAAACTGAAGATTGTGCATATGACTGATTTCTCCGGTCTGCCACATGAAATCGCGTTTATCAAATTCTTACTTGGACATTCACCTGTTCTCGAACAAATGATTGTTGCTCCTACTGTATATGTCACAGATAAAGTGGTGAAAATGTTGATCGACCTGTTAACATTTCGACGGGCTTCTCCTCAAGCTACAGTTAAATTTATTCAAGAGCCATTGTAGGATTTAGTCATGTATAACTTTGCTCTTTTGATTTTTTAAACATGTTATACAATGTTTGGTCAGAAAAGATTTGTGTATTTGATATTTATAGGAAACAAATCAAAGGAGGGAAGGGCTGGTATTTTGACATTCCTGGTGATGAAAGAATCTTGATTATTATATATAGATTGTTATATAGTATACCAATTTGTACAGGTTCAACATAATCCATCTAACAGGCAATCGAAGATAGAGAGTTACATCGCGTACAAAAGTTAATAGTATATCATTTCGATGAATAGCTCGTAATGTTTGCTCGTTATATACCTTGATCCACTATTGTATGGATACCTTTTGTTGTTGTGGTTTGAGAAGCAAAGGTGGAGGATACTTTATTATATCGATTTGACTTATTAGTTATTAGCTTATAGATATGCTAAATCACTATAGAATCATTAAGATATCAGTTTGTTAGTTATTGATTGTTATTGGTTTAATTGAAACAAGGTAACAAATCATATAAATCATGCACATGAGTTGATAAATTTCATTTTACTCAAAAAAAAAAAAAACATTGACACTTGGTAAAATAGTAGAGTTAGAGATAGTCAGAAATAAAGGTATGAAACTAAACCTAAGTTTAGAACTTTATCTGTTAAAAATAACCTATTATTGATAAACCGATAACTTTTTTTCGGTTTGGTTTTGAAGAACTCTACTCTAAACTGATCTATTTGCAAGGAAACTGTGTTCTATTTCTAATTATATATACACATAAGCAAATTATAACATCCCATAAACATTTCCACTCAAACAAACAAGAACCAAAAAAGGAAAAACAACTCTCAGCCTTACAAAGTTATTATATTATCCTTTACAATCAGAATGTATGATATTCTATTTGCAGCTTCTGTATAAACTTATAAACAAAGCTCAATATGACACATGTTTTTTTTTTATGTATGTGATGTCTGAGCCAGCTTTCACGCACTTCGACTTATTCCACGAGGGACTTGTCACCTCCCATTAGCAAAAGTGACATTGTGTCTTAATTCAATTATCATCTTGGACCAGATAGTTCCATTGCTTGTACAAGTAATGAAGAATCATCAGTAAGATCAGAGTATCTTTCTGAAGAAGAAAATTCATTAGCTCTGCTGCATCTTGTTGGTTCTGCTCTTTGAGATGCTTCCCATTTCTCTGCTAGTCCATCTCCTTCAAGCATTCTTACAACTTCAGACATTTTTGGTCTATGACTTGGATGATACTGAGTGCACAATAATGCTACTTGAACCATTTCCTCTAACTCTATCGTATCGTACTCGTTTTTCATGTCTTTGTCCACCAACATGTCTAGCTTCTTCTCTTGTTGAATCTTTCTTACCTGCAGGTAAAAAAACACAGAAGGACGGATCCAGGATTTAAAGATGGTTCGTACTTCGTTCATTGCATCTCTTAATACCTTATAGAGTTCATATTTTAGATAGTGTTAATGCACACCTTACAGATATACAACAACAACATATCCAGTGTAATACCACTAATAAGGTCTGGTGAGGGTAGAGTGTACGCAGACCTTACCTCTACCTTGGGATGTAGAGAGGTTGTTTGTGATAGACCCTCGGCTCAAGAAGTCATGTCAAAGCATGCTGAAAAAGAGAAATGTAACTATAATTATAGGGATTTGTTGTACTTACCCAATCAAGCATGGCACCTTTTTGGTTTGCTGCTTTACCAAATTCCAGAGCTCTTTGTCCAGTGATTAACTCTAGCAAGAGAATACCAAAACCAAAGACGTCCGTCTTATCAGAGGACTGTCCTGTGGAGAGATATTCCGGAGCTATATGTCCTACAGTTCCTCTAACCGCGGTTGTGACATGTGAATCGTGATGATCCAAAAGCTTTGCTAATCCGAAATCTCCAACAACAGCTTCACAGTAATCATCAAGCAATATATTTGCAGCTTTCACATCCCTATGAATGATCTTTGGATCACATTGTTCGTGTAGATATAATAAACCCCTTGCAGATCCCAAAGCTATTCCTTTTCTTGTACCCCAATCCAAGGTTGGTTTGGCTGCAAGAAATGATACGTTATGAGCTGAGCAAATAAGAAGGATAATGTAATTATAGGCCAAAGGAGACAGGTTTTTAGATATGTTTACCTTTGAGACGCGAAGCTACACTTCCATTAGACATGTAAGGGTACACCAGCAACCTTTCAGTTGGTGTCATACAAAATCCATACAACCTGAGGAGATTCCGATGAACTGCCAGACTGATCAACGCGACTTCAGTCTGAAATTGTTGATTGCCTCCAACTGCATTTCCATCTTTGAGCCTTTTCACAGCTACAATAATCCCATCACTAAGACGACCTTTATAAACATTACCAAAACCACCTTTCCCTAGTATGTTCTTGCTGCTGAAATTGTTTGTGGCAGACTGAAGTTCCTTGAATTGAAACCTCCTTAAGTTGCCTAAACACACTTCTTCAATATGATGTTCTGCAATTTATGACAGTAACGTTTATAAGAGAGGATCGATGAGCTAGACCGTAACTTCAAAATGTTCTGATCAAGCAATACTCACCATTACTGTCAAAGAAAATTTGCTTATTGTGCTTTTGTCTCCACCACAGAAAGAATCCAAACCCAACGATTAGTAGGAAGATGCATCCTAGACTTGTTCCAAAGGCTAACGCAGCCTTGTGAGTTTTCGGTTTTCCAGAAGGCTGAACATCTGAGATAACACAGAATATTTTTAGCTGGGAATGAACTATAAATATTGAATCTATCAGCAGAGAAAATTAAACCAGTGAAGCAAATTTACTTCATAAATCTGTATGACTAGTAAAAGCACCATAATCATTATATCGACCGACAATAACAACAACAACATACCCAGTGTAATCCCATATATGGGGTCTGGAGAGGGTGGTGTGTATGTAGCCTTACCCCTACCTTTGTGAAGGTAGAGAGGCGCTTATTTATCATTTGGTTGTGCACCCAAGGGTGTGGCCTACTGGTCAATGAAGTGGTTAAGAGCCATGAGGTCTCAGGTGATTCTCCCCTCCATCCTAACCTTGGTGGAGAGAGTTACCTGGTACATGTTGCTGGTGGGAGGTGGTAGGTATCTCGTGGAATTAGTTAAGGTGTACAAAAGCTAGCTCAGACAATACGGTCATAAAAAAAACAAAAAAACTATCATTTGGCAGTTAAAATAAGGTTAGTTCTTACTCTGTGGATTGCTTGAAGAGAAGGAGAGGGGCATTGGTGTTGTTCCATTGCACTCTGACTCTTTTCCAGTTGCACATATCATTGGATTTCCCAAAATACTGTGTCAATAAGGTTTAAAAAAAAGACAAATAAATACAAAAAAACTGGTTTCATTTACTGATATTAAGGAAAAAGTGATACACAGAGAATTCTTCAAGAACCTTACTTGAATGTTTTGGCTAGAAGCCTTGGTACAGGACCACTGAGATTGTTGAAAGACAAGTCCCTAAACATGCAAAACACACAACTCCATAATACATATATGTCCAAAGTGAAAAATACAGTCAAACCTCTCTATAACTACGTACGTCATTTGTCTGGATATTTTTTAGCTGCTATAGCAAAATGTTGTTATAAAGAACATATAACATAACATAACATGAAAATGGTATTAGAAAATTACATAAGTGAGAGCTGAGTCATATTGGCCAAGTCCAAAGGAATAGCTCCAGTTAGACTGTTGTTGTTTAATCTCCTATAATCATCAAAAATCAAGAACAAACATCATTAGTTTTTAACCCCAAAAAAACTTGTTTGTATAAGATCTCAGAATTCTCTTTGCTTACAAGTATTGAAGGCCTTTCAGCTGAGCTAAAGATGACGGGATTTCGCCGGTTAACTTGTTATCAGAAAGATCAATTGTCTTGAGTTTTTTAAGCATTCCAAGCTCCATAGGAATTGATCCTGATATATTATTGCTCTGTAGAAGTCTGTAAAAACAGGACACTCATATTAACATCTAAGAATAAGAATCAAAACTCAAATGTCTTGATATCTTATTCAGGCCTAATACATAAATATGTCATTTAACTTGGTGTCACCTGACATCTATCCTCCAACTTTGGGGGTGCACAAGTAGGCACACTCACATCCTACGTAGCATAATACACGTAGGATGAGAATTTTCACATAGGACGTGTATGCCTACTTCTGCACATCCATATTGGAGGCATAGATGATAGATAACACCAAGTTAAAGGACACGTTTATGTATTACGTTTTTTATTTACTTTGGTTAAGTAAGTACTCACATAAGTTCAAGGTGTGTCAAGTTGTGGATATATGGTGATATTTTGCCAGACAAATTTTGGCTGGGACTTTCCCTGCATAATCAATAATTCAACTATATTAAGAAATCTTGTTAGGTGTACTATTTTTAGAATAAGTGAAAATTGTTTTACTTACAGGCTAGTGACAAATTTATCATATGAACAAGTCACCATATTCCAGCTACAAGGATCAACAGCATCTCCATCCCAGTTTAAAACATTATGAGGATCATCTAAATTCTTCTTTATCTCCATTAAAGCTTGCACTGCCAAAGAAAAAAAAAATCTTGAGCTTTTAATTTCAAAATCCGCAACAACATATTCAGTGTGACTCTACAAGCATGATTTGAAGAGGGTAGAGTAGAGTGTACACAGACCTTATCCTACCTCAAAGAGGTTGTTTTCAATAAACCCTTAGCTTTTAAAAAAAAAATTGTAACAACGACTGGTGTAGTCAGAATTTTCACTAAGGAGTTCGAAATATAAAAAGTAACCAGACAAAGAAACCAAAGGGATTTAACATCTACTATGTATACATAAAAATAATTTTAACCATGTATAAACGATATAACTTTCCGTGGAAGGCACCTCAGCCCTTGCTAGCTCCGTCCCAGTAATAACAACGAAAAAAATGCAAAATGGATAACAAATACATAACATACAAAAAAATTAACAATAACAACAACAAAATAAGACAATAATCAAAGCACAAAAGCCCAATATTTCATCACAAGAACTAACCTTCATAATTGACACCAGCTGGAGTAAGCATAGCATGAGCATAATAAGCCAAGAAGTTGAATAAGTACAAATAACCCAAAATAGCCTTCATTTTTCTTGCTTTTACTAATTCAA